CGAACATCCCTGTGATGGTGTCCAGCAGAAACATCGGTCTTAATAGGGATATGATCTCCCCTGACTGCTAGGCAGGTTTCACAGCGTCTGCCCATGCTGAGAATGAGGGTGTCAATGAGTTGTTGAGGCATTGCTGCCCATTCGTCTTGAAGTGCCAATCGAAGCTCCGGAATCGTTACTGGTGGTAAGGTACGAGCTGCCAAGCGTCTGCCTAGAAAATCCCATACATGCTCGATGGGATTGAGATCCTGAGATCGTGCCGACCAATCCATACGTTCAATATCTCACTCTCTAAGAGCTGTTTGGCAGCTACTGTGCGATGACATGGTGCATTGTCGTCCATGAAAAGGAACTGTGGACCCATAGCGCCTCTAAAAAGACCGCACATATGGAAGAAGAATCTCGTTACAATAACGGGTCCTGTTGACTGAACCTGCGTCGAAGATGTGAAGGTCTGTACGACTACCAAGCATGATGCCTCCCCAAACGAGAACACCGCCACCTCCATACCTGTCTCTTTCAATGATGTTCGAGGAATGATTGTGGCTTCCCCTGCTCTCTCCAGATGAGTATGCGATGAGAATCGCTACTCAGACTGAATCTGCTCTCATCAGTAAAGAGTACTCGTCCCTATTCATTGTCTCTCCAATTCCGGTGTTCCCGGCACCACAGAGAAAGCCTTCTCCGATGGGCAGGCGTTAGAGGTACACACCGTAGAGGGCGTCGTGCAAACAGACCACCACCGTGCAGTCTTCTGGCCACAGTAAAACGCGATATCGGTCGTCCAGTGTCGTGTGTCTAGCGATTTTTCCCGCTGTCTGCTGCCTGTTTCTTCTGGCCTGTAAGGCAATATACCGGTCATCTGCGGGTGTGGTTCCTCGTGGACGACCACTACTAAACCCCCGGATAGCTGTTCCTGTAATTTTAAATTGTCTCCAAAGTCGTGAAACGATGCTGTGAGCAATTCCGAACTCTGCAGCCACACTTGTCACACTGCGGCCTTCCTCCAACTTCCCAATGATTCGACCTCGGGTAGAAGCATCCAGATGTCGTCTAACAGATTGATTATTTGCCATTTCTCGCTGAGGCAGCAACTCGGTGTGATTTTAACTGCTATACGGAGTGCAATATCTTTGCCAGAAATACTGATCTTACACCGACATGCTTATACTACTCAGACACTCCCCCATTACGTCTACCTGCATATCTGCACTTGTGCTACCGTACATCACCTTACTTAATCTCCTGATTGGTCTTTCTGTCCGCTCTGCCTCTTCGTTCAGCTGATATGCTAATTTTTCGACTTCGTCCTTAATTTTTGCACACCAGTGTATATTATGTGCAGATAAAGGTACTATCAGTAAGTTACCAAGATATGCAAACTCACCAGGTATGTAAAAATGGCACCAACTAAAATAAGATCAGCCCCTTATCAATATATCTATTGTTGGGAATGGCAACACTACGCCAGCAAATCAAAGGCCAGATAGAGACTGATGGGACGCCACAGAAAAATGAACAGTTGGGGTTTAGATAGCTAAGGACGATGTTTGCACCATGTTAGCTAGATAGATATTTCTTATTCATTTAACTTGTACTTATGTGTAAATAAATTCTTTTCCTTAAGTTTAAAATGTTTGAAGAGCTCCATTTATGATAAGATAGCTGTTAATTCATTGGGTAGATGACTTATGAATCCTTTCCGAGCTAGCCATTGTTCGAATGTAACATAACATTTGTGGCGCCAAAACATGGGGTGCAATAACAGCTAAAATAAATTGAAAATGGAGCTTACACAACTGAAAACTGAATGAAAATGGTCTAAGAACTTCCTTCACCACATGTGCAAACAAAACTGATGCAGAACTGAAATCAGATATTCACGAATTGAAGCTACATTCGATTCTGGAACAACTGCTTAGAGACAAGTTTAATCGACTTGAAATTTGCCAAAAGGAAGTAATGTCGCTAATTCTACAATCTAAAGAAGCTGTAAAACTATATGAAGAAGACTTTATTTCATCTGAGCCTTATAGAGATAAATATTTTGAACTGTGTTCTCAAATCGAAAAGCAGTTGAAGAATCCTTTACCTACTGAATTACCAGAGAAGCGCAAATTTAAACTGCCGAAGATCGAAACTAAAGAAATTCAACGGCGAAGCAAAAAGAATTTTTGACGTTTTGGAGCCAGTTTTCGAAGATCCATGAAGATCCGACGATTCCAGATGAAAGATAAATTCCAGTATCTTCCTGCAAGCAGTTGTTCCTCAGTCCAAAGCCGCACAGGGTAGTGGAGAGCTTTCCGGCAACGGCGTCGGAAATTATCCGAAAGCAATCGCCACAGCTTCGAAGAGAGGTTTGGAAGAGAAGACTTACTTGCACAGATATACGTCAGAGATTTTTCTAAACATGGTTATGCGTAATGCAAGCAAGTGGACGTGTGAAGACGGATCTTCCCTACTCTCTACGATGATTTAGGAACCAAGATTAGAGCTTTAGAAAGTCTTGGAAGAACGCAAGAGAAGTATGGTGATTTCTTAATGCCTTTAATTGAATCCTGCCTGCCCGAAGAAGTATTAATTGCTTGGGACAGAAACAGAAATTTAAAGAAGCACCTCAGCCTGATGACCAATGCCTTGAAAATTTGATGAATTTTCTGAAACAAGAAGTGAAAGGAGAAGAAATGGTCGTGTTAGCCCGCACTAGGTTTGGTTCTAATCATATTTCTAAGAAAAAAGATACACTAAATAAAAATCTAGATTCCGTCACCGCAGTTGCGTTAGTAAGTACATAAAATTCTGAGAGCCCAGGTAAGCGCAATTTTAAGTCTTTTGCGAAAAACGGCACCCAACTAAAGAATGTTTTTCTGCTAGAAATATGACATTAGAAACTAAGAAAAATATATTAATGAAAAAAGGTGCCTGTTTTGGATGTTTCAGATTGGGACACACTTGTAAAGCATGTCGAGTAAAAAATTCTTGCATGTACTGTAATAAAACATCACCATTCTTTAATGTGTCCCAATCGCCAAGAAAAAAGCGCAAATGAAAAGTCTAGAAGTGAAGTAACTGAAACCAGTACATTACTAATAACAGTAAAATAGAAAATGTTTATTTAACGACTCTTAATAGTTAAAATTAAATTTAAGAATGTTGAGTTTACAGTACACACATTACTGGATACAGGTTCTCAGCATTCGTATGTCAATAAAAAATTAGTAGAGAATTTAAATTTAAAACCATTAAGGCAAATTAAATTGAAGCATTCATTATTCGGGGGAAGAGAAATGCGAACGCAGATTCACGATATTTATAATTTGCTGATTTCGGCATTAGATGAAACTTTCTCCTTTCAAATCGAAGCACTATCGAAGAGCAAATTTTGTGGCACAGTGCCAAAAGTGAATGATAGTAAAATTCTTAATGAACTGAAAGATAGAGACGTCAGTTTGTCTGCTTTGGGTTCTTCTGATCATGAGATTGGTCTGCTTTTGGTAACGGATATTGTCGGCGCTTTATTTACTAATAAATACGTTCGGTTGAAGTCAGGTTTTTTTTGATTGACACTTGTTTGGGACATGTGTTGACTGGGAAGCATGAGTCATTTGGAGATAGCAATGATGACACTGTTTTGAATGCAATTTCGTTGTATGTTAGTAATTATTTGATAAAAGATTTATGGTCTTTAGAATCCATAGGTATTTCAGATCCCATTGAAAATAATAGAAAGAATTTAGAACATTCTAGAGTTTTGGAAAAGTTTAAAAATAATGTGAAAATTCTTTCAGATGGTAGATATGAACTTTGTTCACCTTTAAATTTGAGGTGGCCGAGTTGCCGACAAATAAAGATTTAACTTGGAAGTGGCATAAAAGGATGTGCCAGCGAGCAGAAGATAAAGCATTTTTAGAAGAATATACTATGATTTTCCGGGAATGGGAAAAATTGAATATAATAGAAAAGGTAACTGACAATACCGAGACGGGAAATTTTTACCTCATCGGCCAGTAATTAAGGACAGTACCACTACAAAAATCAGACCTGTCTTTGAAGCGTCAGCCCGAGAAAGTGGTAAATGCTCTTTGAACGACCTTTTGTATAAGGGCCCGAACTTACTAGAAATAATTCCAGACATACTTGATAGGTTTCGAATTCATCCAATAGGATTATCTTTAGATATTGAGAAACCATTTCTGATGCTAAATATAGCCCCTCAACATAGCGATTTCTTGCGGTTTTTTTATCAAACAGAAATACAATTCATTCCCCCTACTGCTGCCTGGGTTAGATTAAGAATGCAAACTAACAATTTAATATGTCCGATACAATGAGTGTTTCCTCTAGAAATCCAAGTTGTGATTTGTCAGGTTCATGTCATCCAAGCGATCCTCAAAAACATCAATCTGCTGTAAAGTCTTCAGTTTCTCATTGTGGAGATGACTTGCGTACCTCTCATCATTCAGAAATTTCTGGGCCACCCCGATCTCCTCACCCCACTGATGTTTCCGATGTACGTGACAGTTTTAAGACAACAAAGACAAGATCTGGTAGAACTGTTAAAATGCCACTTAGATTTAGCTTGATAGACTTGAATGTTTTGAGTAGCTATCCAGCAACTCAAAGAGGGTAGGATGTTGGGAATGGCACCACTACGCCAGTGAATCAAAGGCCAGATAAAGATTGACATCATGGGACGCCAGAGAAAAATGAACAGTTGCGGTTTAGATAGCTAAAGACGATGTTTGTACCATGTTAGCTAGATAAATATTTCTTATTCATTTAACTTGTACTTATGTGTAAATAAACCTTTTTCCTTAAGTTTAAAGTGCTTCATTTATGATAAGATAGCTGTTAATTCATCGTGTAGATGACTTATAAATCCCTTCTGAGCTAGCCATTAAGATTTTTAACAGTTAATTATATCAGGATCTCAGAAATTACTTAAAAGTTAAAATTAAAACAAATCATATTCACAAATCTAACAGATCCACTGTACATACCAACTATTCCAAGCTTCAAATATAAATTGGTGATCCCAAAGCAAAAACCTTTTGCAGATAATGCATATCCACAAGTCTGCACTTTCACAGTAGTTTCAGCAGTTTGTAAATACTTGCTTTTAAACCAACTTGCGAAACTGATGCATAATAATAGTATACTAATGCCAAATAAATACAGAAAAAGATAAACCTAAAAAAAAAAAAAAAAAAAGGCATGAAGTAAGTTAAATATCTAAGTATCAAAAACCGTATTATTCATTAAATGGTTTAAAAAGACTAATATTCTACAAGCATTTTTATTAACAAAACCTTTACTTACATTACAATTAAATTGCATATCCCCCCCCAAAAAAAACAATATAAACACAATGGTTTAAATTCAGTAAAGGCACAGAAATAACATAGGAAAGAATTCATAATATAGTCAAAAGTCGTTAATCCGGACTCGTCGGGACTTCGGCGATTCCGGATTATAGATCATCAGTTTAAATCTCGTAAGATGGCATGCAGAAATTCTAAAATTAAGAATATGAAACCGTCATTTATGAAATAAAGAACAATTATGATCTAAAGGGTATCAAAATTTTAAAAAAAAAAAAAAAAAGCTTAATATTTATTTGTTACTTTATTAAACATTTCTTTCAATGTAAGTTGTTTAAGTTGCTTCGTTTTAATGTGATAATACTTTCTCTTTAATTCTATAAACAGACATAATTTTTTGTTCAGTTACAAAGTTCCGCTGTTCAAGTCCCGTTAATTGCTGTGCCGAGAATACCGACTAACTTGTCAATCGAATTTTTTTTTTTTTTGTTTTCACTAACCTCTCTGTCACATTCTTCATGTCTTTATCCACTTTTTGCAGCAATTCCACATTTTGTTTGATGGACATCGAAACATACTTTCGTTTTGGGAGCTCCAGATTCGGAAATTCTATTTGACATAATCGAAAGTTCAAGTTTACTTTTATAGTATTGCTCTTACAGTCTGCAAAAAATAATAAGCCGAATCCAATTCGAAAATTAAGGAACAACGCAATCATCAACATTAACTGAAATAGATAATTAGATAATTTTTAGCTTATACCGTCCGTTATACATAAAACACACACGCGAAAGCGTATTCTGCGCTTGCACACACGCAAATGCGCAGTCGTAAGAGGTCTTACGCGCACGCGTAAATGCCTATGCGCATGTGTCAACGCGGCGCATGCGCAGAAAGTTTTTAGCTTTGAGGTCCGGATTATGGGTGTCCGAATTAACGACTTTTGACTGTATACTGCAAAATGAAGAAATACTGATTGTGCTTTCAAAATTGGCAGATGAGAGAAACCATAATAACAACATAAAATGATAAAAGTTATTGATGTTAATTGTTGGATCATTAACAACAATAATTTAAAAGCCTGAACAAATTGAATAATTACTCCAAGTCCTGTTAAAACTCTTAATACACTCTCTAACACAATGTTGATACATTCAAATAGGTAGTTTCACTGCAGATCGTATTCAATGGTCAGTCTATTATACTGTAAATTACATAACAAGGCAAATCCAATATTTTTGAGAAAGTAACACAACAATTCATTTGTGTCATGTACCTCAGAAATGGTCAATCAGGTTGAGGTCTTTTGACTTTGTTGCACACTCTATGGCCATATTGCTTTCACTCTCTGGTCATTCTTATATTAATGCTGTAGCATGGATTTTAGCCCTGCCCTGCATCAATAGATATACAGAACCAATAGTTCCCATGAAAAATGGCTGTAAGTTTATGCCAGAACTTCATTGATCTAACATATAGCAGTAATACAGAGCTTGTACTAAAGATGCACAGACCAGTTTGTTTTTCGTTCATTATAAGTCAATCTACAACACGTAAACATTTCTTCATATACTTTTCTGTATCTGATGGATAATTAATTTGCATCATAACGCATGCAAGATTACTGGCATGTGTAACTATGTCCAGGATTGCTTTGTAAGGTGATGCACTACTCATGAAGGAAGGAATAAAAGGAGAGGCTCTGACCGGTTCCCAGTGTTCAACTGGTCTAACACAGGGAACATACCCCCTTTGTTTGCCAAAACATTCAGTGGTTTACCATTAAGATTTATGGATTAACCGGCAATAAATACTCTGCAATTACATCACAAACTGGCTGCCCAGACGGTAGTGGATAGGGGAGCCTACTGCAATGCCGAACAGCCCGAGTCCAAATCCCTGAGAAGGCATGGCTGTAATTGTCCATCCCTTCACAGGAGATAGAACTAGCCCACCTTATTAGGTACTTCACAATAAAGTGGCCACCATTTTCAACCTTAGTAGTAGCCAAGCCTAGGGGAGCCTACTGCAATGCTGAAGGATACAGGTTCAAATCCCAGAGAAGGCATGGCTGTAATTTTCTGTCCCTTCACATAAGGTAACAGTCACCCACCTATTAGATGCTTCCACGATAAAGTGGCCACCTCTTCAGCCCTTAATAGTGGCTAAGCCTACATCGGCTATGTGCCTGCCAATGGGACGGGATTCATAACTATAAATGTCATCATATTTCATCACATCGTAAATATAAATGTATATATTTTCTTTTTTAAGTGTATTTAAGTGTCCTAACTATTTGAAAGATTACTTTCCTAAATACTATTTCATTCTTATTCAATTAGCAATTGCTATTAATTTTCTTGACTCAGAAAAGTTTTAATTTGAATGCAATGTCTTTGTTAATTACATCAAAAAGAAATTTTTATTTGGTTAACGATTACAAAAATTAAAAGTTATTAATATTAAAATTGCACATTTCTTTTCTGTTTAGTTTCTCTCAGAAATATTTTCTAAAATAAGAGATGACTTTTAGGTGTTTCAGAAATGTCTTTTAAATAAGAAACCATATTTACAGTACAATTAATGCTTACTTCAAACTAAGATAACTTTTACTTCAATAGTTAACAAATACTGCTGATTTCTGATTTCTATGTAGTTTATTTCCTATGAGGGGATAGGTTTAGGGTTAAAACTATCCCATCAGAGGGTTTCCTTCCTACAAAGGAATAGGGGTAGTGAGATGATAGAGGTAAAAGAATTATTAATATTCTTCAAGACTTGCAAATGAATTATTATAAAATATAGGAGAATACTTACTTATCACAACTTTGTCCTTAAAAAATTATATTAACCTTCTATTCGACAATATAATAATTATAAACATTCTACTTCACAACTGTCTTATGTTATGCATGGCATTTGATATACTGGGTTTCCCATAACCTTTTAATAGATTGTTTTCCAGTACAAATAATTCCTGCTTAAATAGTTTATACAGTCAAAAGTCTTTAATCCAGACGTCCGTAATCCATAATGATCTATAATCCAGACCTCAAAGCAAACTTTCTGCGCATGCGTACGACTTAGGCGTATATGCATTTACGCATGCACGTAATACCTTTACGCATGCGCATCTAATGTATAACCGACGGTGTAAGCTAAGCTAAAATTATCTAATTATCTATTTCAGTTAATGTTGCAGATTGCGTTGTTCCTTAATCTTCGAATTGGATCCGGCTTATTATTTTTTGCAGACTGTTAGAGCAATTTTATAAAAGTAAGCTTGAACTTTCGATTATGTCAAATAGAATTTCTGATTCTGGAGCTGCCAAAGCGAAAGCATGTTTCGATGTCCATTAAACAAAAGTGGAATTGCTGCAAAAAATGGATAAAGGCATGAAGAAAGTGACAGAGAGGTGATTTGTTTCTCTAACCATTCTGAAATCTGTTTATAAATTTCACGCTGCTCTGGGGGGGGGGACATAGCGGCGCGCAATGAACTGGAAGTCAATCTGTCAGCACTATCCTCATCTTCAGGGCAGATGTTTTTATTTTATTCGGCTTATAATTCCTTACTAAATGTAGTGTTTCATCTCGATGTACTCTGATATGATTTAAATCAATTTCCTCGTCATTATAAATATCACGAATACGCATAAAATAGTTTTCTGGTTGCAATTTTCTAATTTCAACTGCACGTAATGTATGCTTTACGCATGCGCGCGTTGAAAGAAATGTTTAATAAAGTAAACAAATAAATATAAAGCATTTTTTTTTTTTTTTTTTTTGTAAATTTTGATTCCCTTTAGATCACAATTGCTTTTTGTTTCATAAATTAAGATTTCATATTTTTAATTGTATAATTTCTGCATGCCATCTGACCAGATTTAAACTGATGATCTATAATCCAGAAAAATCGATAATCCGGAATCGCCGAAGTCCCGGACTGTATATATATATTTGTCAATAATGCTTTTAATTCATGTTTACAAATAAATGTTAATCATTGCATAATATATATTTAATAACTAGATTTCCTGATATTAACAACATTCACAGGACTTTATGAATGAAAAATCATTCATTTTCAAATAAATTTTTAACTAATTTAATATTTACATTGTTAATTAGCAATTACGTTTCTTAAAAAAAAGTTATGTACAAATAAATATTCCTATACTTGAAAATTTTCTTTTTTTGACATGTGCGAATCTTTATTTTGTGTCTATTCACTGTCTATGTCTCTTTTTTTCCAGTAAGGTAATTTTACAATCATTTAGCATATATCAGAGCCTTTATGTAAGAAATATGTATAAATTGAATAAATATTACATGCGTTATTTTTTTTTTGTATAATTAGTAAAAATACAATTTTAGTTCATCATTCTTAAATTCTTCGACTTCAACCTCACTAGGGCCCACCAGCGGCCGAGCGGTAAAAATCGCTGAACACTGGTAGTTTGGTCTGAGGTTCGAATCTCACGAACGGGCTGGCTGCATGGGAGTTTTCATGGTTTTTCCCCATGTGTAATGTGTATACGAGCCAGTTTCCCTTAGAAAGTCCTCCACGAAGGCATCCCTTCCCTTAGGCAGATAACCCTCGAGGCTTTGCCATAATCACAGACACACACAACCTCACTAGTGGCTGAGAGTTTAGACTGCTGAATACTGGTAGTTTGTTCCAAGTTTGAAATGAAAACAAATGGGCTGGCTGCATGGCTAATTTTCATGGTTTGCTCTAACATGAATATGAATCAGTTTCTCTTAGAAGGTCCTTCATGAATGCATCCCTTTTCTTAAGTGGATAGCTCTCATGTGCTTGGCCATATTCAAATAACCAAACCATCTTTCTGACTTCATAGGTGGAGA